TGTTAAGAAATTACGATGTCTTGGCCAGTACCCAAACTTTTCGGGGTGGGACACAGGGTCGGCAATGTCCCATAAATCTGAATTTTATAGTGACGATAAAAAGGGAAAAAAAAAATGCTTTCTCTACTGCAATGATGTCGGGCTGGGTAGTCTAGGAGGCCGTGCTCACAATCTTCCTCCACAAAATGCACCTTACAGGTAAGGCGGTCACATTCTGAATGTTATTGTTTTCTTTTTTTTGTTGGTTGAGTCCCCTGTCCGTGAATTGCTCAAGCTGTCCGTGATCTGCTCAAGTTGTGCTTTGTCAGAGGATTGTAAGGCTCATCACACTGGCACCATGTGCCCGTTTTTCCCCCTTTTATTCTCTTTTTGGAATCTGACAACCTGGCCACGGGGCTGAGATGCCCTCATTGAGGGCACACTCACACTACCACTTCCAAGAATGTATACAACTGCAATCACGGCCAAAACTTTGTTTCCTTTTTTTTTTTTTTTTTTTTCTGAGATTCACGACTGCAATGTTTCTTCTTCTTTTTTGTTTTTTTTTGTTCTTTCCGTGAGAGTACCAGAAAGAAAACGGAGTGGTACCCAGGCTCGGCAAAACTCAAAGCGCAGTGAAATTCAGGGTCGGCAAAAACAGGCTCGGAGGTACTGGTTGTTTAAACTAAGAAAATTTCGGCAGCGCCTCCCGTAGGAAAAATACCTTTTCCAAAATTTATATCAGCCTGAATATGAAAACAAAAATAGTCTTCGACTTTCCAAAGTCAAATTTTGTCCAACTCCCTGAATTAGCAAAAATTTGGGCAGCACTCCCTTTAGAAAATGAGACTTTCCAGATTTTTACTAAGCCATGTATTAAATTTAGACAAGTTGAACTTTGAAAAACCAAAATTTGACCAACTCCTTGGATTTGCAGAAATTTTCGGCACCGCTTCCTCTTAGAGAAAGTAGCTTACCAAAATTTATACAAAGCCAAGTATAACAAAAGATCCCAGAAAATGCGAGAAT